ATGCAAATGGCGAACCCTCACACCTCACCACCTAAAATCAAGAATCGTCTTGAAATACCTCGCCTTAAGAAGTTGTAACTAGGAAATAGTACATTGAGTACCAGATTGCCCAGTTACTTGATATCATAAAAAAAAGATAGACATCGATAAGAGCGGTACAGGCAGATATATGTACTAGGTTTGTCTTGTCATCGGAAGGGAATATTATCTATAAATAATGCAAGCTGTTGCACTCTGTAGTTTGTCTTTGTTCAGAGTGTAATATGGCATTGTACGCTTTAAAAGCGACGGCTTTCTTTTAAAAAGCTTTCCGAATTTTGTTTTATGAAAACCTGGTAGTGCTGAAAAAAATAAGGCTAAAACGACACATCAAGATGAGAGCACCTTTGACGGGATCCAAATCTTACAGGACGGTGTGCCATGTGACGTTACTCCCCATTGTGTCTCCAGTCTCGTTGAGTCTGTAGCTGGAATGCTTTTGTCATTTTATTTGGCCAGGATGGGTTTTTAACCTTTGCTTGTTTTGGTACATTATTATGGCAGCTTTAGTAAAAGAAATTGCTGGGTTTTGCCTATATGATTGTACATGAAAAAAGCATGGGAAAGTACACACTCATAGGATCTCTTGTGGTTTATTTTTATTTAATTTAAAACATAACAGAATTTGCATAGGTATAATTTATAATTTTAATTGCCTCCGTGGCCGAACGGTTACCATGCTTGTCTGCCATGCCGAGATCCCGGGTTCGGTTCCCGGGCCGGGAGAAATATTTGTGTGGCCTACTTTATTTCTCTCGTGAGTTTGAGTGTAATTTGTAGTTGTATACATGTGTGTCCATGGCACCCGCGACCAGGGTTTCGCTAATGCTTTTCGCTAAATAATATATGTGTGTGCATTATTATTAATAAAGAGGAACATACAACTCGATAATTCAGAAAATGTCATAAAAATATTTAATCTTCATTATAATATAATTGTACAGTGCTAATTTTCGTTTTTGTGTCATTGCCTCTCGTCATCTAGCATAGCAACATTCCAGGGGTAAGATTGTTTTGCATTTGTCTGGGACACAAAATTACTTTATATTGCGATGCAAACGCATACCGCTGAGACTACAGACTAAGGTCTTTAACCAGTGTGTCCTGTCTTTGGCATGGAAACAACGACTCTGACGAAGAAGTCCCCAGAGAACTCACGAATCTCACAGAGAGCAATGGAAAGACCAAAGTTAGGATTAACATTGCTCGATCGGATACCAAATGAGCGTTTTCGACGGATAACCGTCGGGGACATCGTACACAAAATTGAGATGATGAAAAGAAAATGGGCAGGATACATAGTTAGAGTGAATCTAGATCGGTGGACAAGGGTGATCATGGGTCAGTCAGTGGGTCAGGGCGGATGACATTAAAGTTTTTGCGGGCCGCAACTGTAAGCACAAGTATGCATTACATTTAATATTAAGCTGTAGTCGTAAAGTAATCGAAAGTATCAGCCCTGCAAATACAGTTAATTTAGTTATATTGATAGCAGTTAGTTCTGCCTGCCCTGACCGATCGAAACGACAAGACAAGTGCGGATTTCTAACACATGATGTAATAGTATCATGTGTCTCATATATAGACTAGCATATAATATCATGGAGTGGTATCCAAGAGAGAAAAAGAAAGAAAGTTAGACTATACTTTAAATGGGAAGATGATTTTAAATACGCTGCAGGAGGATCATGGAAGGGAACAGCAAGAGATAGGTAAAAATGGAAATTTCTGGAAGAGACCTATGTCTTAGAATTAGCTAGAGTTAATTAAACCCAACGCTGTTTGAGATTTGAAATAGATTTCTCTGAAATAAGGACCTAAGGACCTAAGGTCCTAAGGACCTTAAAAATATTAAACAAAATTCCCATAACCGACCTTCTTTGATTTTGTACAGTAAACGAATAAAAAGCGTTGAACAAATCTATAAGCAATAGTGCCTGGAGCGAGGAGGCTGATTCAACATAAAACAGATTTCTTATTTAATGTTGGATAGCCGCTAAGGGAACCGTCTGTAAGCTCAGATGTGTTAATATGAAGTAGGACTTTGTTTTGATTTTGTCACAAACACGTCAAGTTATAAATTAATTTGGTCAAGAATGATAATCCTCAAGATAAAGTCTTACATCTTATTTCCTGTTAAATATTTCGTTTAGGTCATAAAAAATATTTTTGTTTAACCATTTGTACAGCATTGTTTTAAATAAACTGAAGTGTAATAGGTTAATTTCAAGTGGTATTTTATTATATCAACTCATATTTTTTTAAACAACTTTTACTTTTGTCAGTCTAAGGGTCATATTCCAGAACTCTACTCAATACCCAAGTCAGGACTTGAGTATTTGCAGTGAGCACTGAAAATCATACTCAAGTCCTTGCCATTAGGGTCGTATTTCCAGTGCTTGAAATCATACTCAAGTCTGCTCAAATCCTGACTTGTGTAAGTTCTAGAATACGACCCTATTAGTACAAGTCTGTTCGGGTTTCTGCAGTCTAGTATTCACATCACTTCCTTAAACAAATAATTATATGTGTTATCGTTCAAAGATACTAATTTCGTACATTATAATGATGGTAGCGGTAACGGACCAAGGCTCTGAAATAAGAGCCTGCATGTTTCATTCATTACGGGGGAACGTCAAAAATTCCTCTTGCATTTCTTTTGTGCTACAAAAGCTCTGTTTCGGTCTGTACTATTACCCCATACATTTCAATTCGAGTTAACGGAAGTATCTTCACTGATATTTCTATTAGGTGGTTATATACGCGAGGGTTTATCGTGAGCATAGTCCACGTTGCCTTCTGCAGTCGAAGAGAAACACCAAGGAAGCAGGCAGCGTGTATCACTCATTTGCAAGTGATTATGGTGTCATGGGCTGGTGTCCGCAGCTCGACGGCTCCAGGCGTCAAACAGGCATGAAAAAACGTGTCTTTTTATAGATTTTATTTCATATTAAACAAAAAAAACCTCTTAGCATGGCTCTTAGCATATATTATCATCGATCTAATTATTCCTTCAATTACTGACAATTGTGACAACGAACCTGTCATATTACGACAAACAACTATTGAAAATGGACATATTTTTTAACGCATGTCTGTTACGCGATACGCGTGGTCATCCAACATTAACCCACTGCTGGGCATAGGCCTGTTCTTTATTGTGCCAATATTTTCGATCTTGCGCCATTGGAATCCAGCGCGATCCCGCAAATCTGACGATATCCTCAGACCATCGGCTGGTGGTCTGCCCACTGGCCTTTTTGCTCCTCTTAGATAGATACTGAGGTTGAGCAGTCACGGAATCTCAACTTCAGTATTGGCCCCATTTAAATTTGAAGGAAATATTCCACCTGTAAGGGTGTCCACAAATTTTTGAGGTTCGTTTTTTAAAACAAAGTTATAATCATTATTTTTCTCGTCTGTCGCATGCTGCCACGGCACCGCCGCCAATGAATTTAATCGGCGTAAAGCGTGAAAATTTGTTTTATTAAAGTAATATTAGCTTTTTGTTAATTATTTGCTATATTTCATTACATATTTTATATACAATTGTAAAGAATTACCTTCCAGACTACGTATATCGTTTTAGTATTACATTTATAATAAGGCCATTTATTTTTATGCAATGGCTTCTTTCGAATATTCTTTAAGTTCATTATTTTTACTTACAGTACCTACTAGTTAAGTGCAAATATAAAAAGGTTGATTTAAAATCAATAACCAGTTGAAAAGGAGTGGTTCTTGTCGAAGATTTTATGCATGTCTAGCTGGGTACTAATTGTAAACCATCTCCATACTTACGTATCCCTACTAGAATCCACAGAAGGATTGAAAGGAGTTTATAAGATAAAGCTCATAGCATGTTGCGGTTTAAGGAGGGGAGGATCGGAAACGGGGGGGCGGGGATATCCGGATCAAATTAAATTGAAGACTAAGCGGAAACCGCGGGGAAGTGACCGTCCCACATTTTTACCTTAACGCTGCTGGTAAACTATGAATAAGGTTGTTTGAGAAATGACTAATGCATTTTTAATACAAAGACTTTGTTTGACAGTAATATTTATTTCGGTCGGTCACATTATAATCTGCTCGATAACCATACTAACCTGGTCTCACATTGAAAAGTACCTGTACGATGACTCAAAGTCAATTAATCTTTATTTCATATATAAGCAAATTACACTTGAAATCGTCATACTGATTAAACTCTAATACCCAGACTCTCCTGAAAAGAATGAACAAGAAAGTCTAGAGGTTGCTCTTTGTAAATTTACATTTCAATACATTTATCATTACAATATTTAACTTAAACATCTTAGATCGAGACTACCTGCAAGAGCAAAACCGGTCACTACCACGGATTTTTGTCATCCAAATACACAGAAGTAACAGAGAAACATAATTAATTCTGTGGCACTGTTCATAACAGTCAGTCTAGAACTAATTCAGAAAAATACGATTCGCAATTTTTATTTGTTGAATGGCTACTGGGAATCGATCTTGAAACTTCCCCGCGGACTCCCAAAGTGCTAAGCGCAGAGCCGTAGAGGTGGCCAAATGACTTTTCGCTTACTAAGATTGCAATTTAGAGTTCATTAATTCTTTCAACGTATCATGTGTTTAATATGGCTGTCTTTTTTAATTGTAAAACTACATAAAAATTATGAAAAATTGTATGCTGCAAGGCCGGTTACAGTGATTCAAAATGCTTATTTGCGACTACTTTATAACCTGTGTATCGTAAAGCAATAGATGAATTTTACTTTATTGCATGTGTGTGGGTAATTTCCAGGTTAGTTTCCTCTACCTAGTTTTCTTAAGTAATGAAAATTGTCACCAAAATTATGTAGAGAAAACTAATCTGAAAATACTCCCGTTCACTTTACGTTTTCGAAATTTAGGGCAGCGCCGACTAAGAAAATTCCTTTGTTTATTTCGAACATTAGCAAAGACACTACGGTGAAAGATATAGTTGAATATATTAAGAGTAAAACGCAAATAGAAGTTACTTTAACGAAAATTCTACCAAAAACAAAAAGAGGTTATGATTCGTACGTTTTCTATGTGGACAGTTTTAAAATGTCGTTATTTCTTAATGATGAAATATGGCCTGAAGGTATATGCTTTAGAAAATATGTTGTATTTAATAAGAAAGACAGCGGTGTAGCTGTTAAGAACGGGTCTCAATAATAAATTATTTAGTATGTATAGTTCAGTTAAGAGTAATATAACAACTTTTGCGTCGTTTAACTGTAAGTGCTTTAAAAGGTCGATTGATCTAATAAGGAATCTTTGTAAGACAGCCGATGTGGTGGCACTTCAGGAGACATGGCTTCTGCCTCACGATCTGCCTCTTGTCGGAACGGTCAGTGAAAGTTTCGAGTATACATGTAAATCAGCAGTTGACACGTCTGTAGGTATTCGCAAAGGTAGGCCTTTTGGCGGTGTAGCTTTGTTGTGGCGCAAGGGCATTTTTGACGCTGTTGCAGTGTTAAATTGTAACAGTGTAAGGTTAGCGGCAATTAGGGTCACCATTGAGAAGAGGTCAGTAATCATTTTTTCTATATATATGCCCAACGACGACAGTACGGTCGTTAGTAATACTGAGTTTGTGGGTTGTTTAGCCGAAATAGACGCCATCATAGAAAATAATGACGTGCATGATGTCCTTATGCTGGGTGACTTTAATGCGCATCCACATACACAGTTCTGGATGAAATTACAACAATATTGTGGCGATAGGTATTGGAAATGTGCGGATACTGAATTTCTTGGGCTGGACTCTGGCACCATAACTTTTATAAGTGACATAGATGGTAGTAGGAGATGGTTGGACCATTGTGTTGTAACTCGATCTGCATGGAATACCGTATTTGATATCAAGGTTGAGAATGACGTGCAGTGGTCTGATCATTTTCCGCTTATTATAAGGTGTAAACTGGGGGCGATGGTTCCGAAAATGACATGTGAGGTTAAGACGCCTAACAGAGTGTTATGGCGTACCAGGTCGAATGCACAAATAACACAGTACTTTAATATCTGTAATAGCGTATTAGAAGACATTCATATGCCGGAGATTTTTACTCGGTGTACCGAGCAGATGTGTACAAATAGCAGTCATCAGCGTGCTTTAGATGAACTGTATAGAGTAGTAGTCTGCGCTCTTAGTGATGCCGCCATTAAGTCACACGACACTGGTGTACGGAGCGTAAGAAGACCTGTTATTGGGTGGAATAACTATGTGCGCGAAGCTCATGGGGAGGCCCGGCTTAAATTTCAAACCTGGCTATTAAACAACAAACCAGTTAATGGTAAAATCTGGGATGACATGCGTGACAGTAGAAAGATTTTCAAAAGTAGGCTACGATGGTGTCAGAGCCATCAGGAGCAAATAAAAATGGATATTGTTGCCTCTCATCGTGCGTCCAAAAAGTTTAGCCAGTTTTGGAGAGCAACAAACAGTTTGAATGTTAGGCCGGGTCGACCAATGAGTGTAGGTAGTTGTACTGAAGCCAAGGAGATCGCAGACCTATTTAAAAACCACTTTAAGGTTTCCTCGACGCTGGGCTCGGTGGATCGGATGATCGATGCGAGGGTAGACGTGGCCGGAGGCTTGCCTTTGCGTTTCTCAGCTACGCAGGTGGCTTCGGTTATAAAGGGCATGACCAGAGGGAAGTCTCCGGGGCATGATGGGCTCAGCGTCGAGCATTTGAAGCACGCTGGGGTACATCTTCCCAGAGTATTATCCTTGTTTTATTCTTTATGTATATCTCACTCATACCTCCCCGCAGAAATGATGAGAACGGTAGTGGTTCCACTCATAAAGAATAAAACAGGCGATATTTCGGACGTTGATAATTATAGACCGATCTCCTTGGCAACGGTGATGGCAAAGGTGTTGGATTGTCTGCTGGACTCAAGTTTGGATCAATTTATCAATCTTCATGACGCTCAATTTGGGTTTCGGCCTAAATTATCTACCGAAAGCGCCATCTTGTGTCTAAAGCAGACTGTCCAATACTACTCATGCAGAAAGACACCTGTATACGCTTGCTTTCTGGATCTTTCTAAGGCATTTGACCTGGTATGCTATGACCTTCTATGGGATAAGCTTCGAGGGACGGGCGTACCGGAAGAAATTATAGCGTTATTGCGTTATTGGTATTGCCATCAGGACAATAATGTCAAATGGGGTGAGACGTTGTCTGACACGTACAGGTTGGAATGCGGGGTGAGACAAGGGGGAATTACCTCACCGAAACTTTTCAACCTGTACGTAAACGAGCTGATCGTGAGACTCAGTGGCAGACCAGTCGGCTGCTGGATAGATGGATTACCCGTCAATAATTTTAGTTACGCAGACGATATGGTGCTGCTGGGTCCCTCGGCCGGCTCTGTCAGGCAGCTTCTTGACATTTGTGTTAAGTACTGCGGCGATCACGGCCTGGTTTATAACGCCAAAAAAAGTGAATACATGATCTTTGAGGCCCGAGGAAATAATGTCACCTACGAGCCTGTTATAAAATTGAAAGACGTACCTCTAAAAAGAGTGAAACTATTTAAATACCTAGGGCATTATATTTCCGAAGACCTCAAAGATCATGCCGACATTGAGCGTGAGCGACGAGCGCTAGCTGCTAAATGTAACATGCTGGCCCACAGATTTGCGCGTTGTAGCAACGAGGCCAAGTTAACATTATTCAAGGCTTACTGCCAAACGTTCTACACGTGCGCTCTGTGGGCCAGATACTCTAAGAAAGTACTGGACACGCTCCGTGTCCAATACAATAATGGATTCAGGGTGTTGTTGGGATTGCCGCGATATTGCAGTGCATCGGGCATGTTCGCAGACATGCGGACAGACGATTTCTGGGGCATGTTGAGAAAAAAGACCGCATCCCTTCTGCTCAGAATGCGTGGCAGTTCCAACAGCATTCTGAAAATGTTTGCGCACAAAACAGCGGAACCCATGCTTGAGCATTTTGTTGACGTGCTGGTGTGGCAAGCCACACCTACGCCTAGATAAAGACAAAGATAGCTCAAGCATGCTGTATATGTTTTACTCATTTTTATTTTATTTATTTTTTAATTGGTAAATTTTTCATACTTTCATTTTTAAATTTAAGTTTTGATTTTTTAAATTTTTATTTGTACTTTTTAAAAATAATTTTAATTTAATTTAATTTTTTAATTTTTAACTTTTATTGTCAAAATTTTACAAATTTCTAACGTGAAATGTCCTAATTAGGTTCTGTTTAATTTTAGTTACTACTAACCTTAGTTTATAAGTTTTTCTGTAATTACTAACAAGTGGACCGTAGTTGTCCGAATAAAGAAATTTTATTATTATTATTATTATTATTTACTTTAACAAGTAATAGGAAATGTCCATAACAGCTCTTTCAGAAAATCGAAAAGAAAAATTTCACTTTAACCGCAACACAACCCAGCTTCTATAAATTTGTCCACTCCGCGGTACTTTTTAGAGGCAATCGTGGGGCTCGATAGCGTTTGAAGTAAACTCGATGTTTTAAAAAGAAAAATATCTCGCTATAATTTATTTCTGTTTGTATTTACTTTTAAAAACCGACAAATTGCATTGCAACCCTCGCTACGTTTCAAAATTTTGAAGCAACCACTCCCAGCATTGACAGTATAAACATTGCTGTCGGAAGTCAATAGAATATTGGATTTAGGAGAATACGTTCACTTAAATATTCAACATCATCATCAAACCATTATGAGTACCAATGAGTTTCGTAAGTCGGGTTGTGAGAGAGTATTTCAACAAAAGACTACAAAGTTAGGACAAAAACACATGCTCATTGTTTAGGCTAGCTCTGCCCACGGCCTACTCGCATAATTAGAATTTAAATAGGTGGGTAGTTAGGTAATTGGTTTAATATAGAAGTAATACTCAGCTGGTCAATTATTATAAAGTTTGAAAAGTACCTATTGATTGTATGATTTAAAGTTTTCGATATCTATTAATACTTACTGCTAAATAATAGGTAATGAATGCTAAATGAAAAAAAAAAAAATTAAATTGTAACATTTTAGGAAATGAAAATATTTTTCCGGATTTAAATCGCGTATATCTGTTTTTTTCATTGACTTACAATTATATGGACGTCGGGTCCGCGCTAAAAAGTGTCCGCACTTGTAAGGCGCTAAAATCGTATACAGAGCGCGACACTCCGCTTTAGTCTTCATTTGTTCTACTGACAGCGCGATACTGCGATGACATTACAATTTAAATTTCGAATAGGTTGACTTGGGACATTTTTTTCGTGGTTTTTGTATCAGACCCGTCGTCCATTTATTTGTAAGTCAATGGTTTTTTTAAACAAACCGATGTTTCGACAAAATAGACAAAAAAAAACTAAAAAAAAATAGGGTAGTTTGCATTAGTATTAGACATACCTGGTTGAATACTGTACCACCTCAGTCAACCGTGACCATGTCACCTGTAAAGGGCCCGAAACGTCAGTTTGTTTGAAAAAACAAATATACGCGATTTAAATCCGGAAAAATAGTTTCATTTCCTATGTGTAACAATAGCGAAAACCTAAAGAACTCGATATGTAACATTTTATTTTATATTAATTTACTACATAAACCTCATTCAGAACTGAAAATGTTCATTCAAATAAAAAAAAATCATTAGGGATGACATTTGACCATTTTATAAATTATTAATTACTGGTAATTGTTATCATGAATTCATTTATATAACCCACTGCTGGGCCCGGGTCTCCTCTCAGGCGAGGGTTTAGGTCATAGTCCGCCATGCTGGCCCAATGCGTGTTTGAACTTCACAGATTTTCCGAAAGTTGTGAACCGTCTTCGACCTGCAGGTTTAATTACGAAGTTTTCCTTAACAGAAAAGGCCATGGCAAATTTCAAATTAAATTTCGAACGTAAATTCCGAGAAACTCAGATATGCGACCCCGGATTCGAATCTTTCTCTGTCTGTTTGAGAGGCCTACCAGGCCTACCAGGTCAAACCACTAACTAGGCTAAACAGCTTGTCTAATTTTTATGTTGGTTTCAAACTACCTACTTACTAGTCATGTCAAATTTCCATTGAACAAAATTCATCACGGACATGACTTTAAGATTAGTATTCTCAATAATCTAATCGAATTTCGGGGAAAATATTGAAATTGTAGTAACTGTATAGCAGTCTGAGGTGATAACCCTAAAATTCAAATTATGTGTGTGTTTGTTGATATTTATTCTATATCGAATTTGGCTAGTAGGGGCATACCACACCATTAAACTAATTGAAATATATAAATATAAGACAATATACAAACCAACACATAACTTAAGATATTACATTACCTTAGACTTACCTTTGAAATTGGATATTTGTATTTTATATACTACGCACCTTCTACATCGGTTTACCTTCTTCAAATAACTACAACTAGCCATTGATAGAAAAGATAATACAATTCAATACGACGATATGAAATCGCAATGTTATGTTATCCGAAATTCCAAGGCCCAAATTAAATTTAAGTGGAAGAAAATATCTATAATACCTGTCAACTTATGTCTCAGGGTGACAGACGCTGTGGCAGTGCCCCTAAGATCTTTGCGATTTAAAGCTCTGATCGGCACCGAAACCGAAAATTCATAACGAATAGCCGTGTCGTTACTACGGTGGGTAGGGTGGCAGTTCTACACTGGACGAACACTTTAACAAGGAGATTTACTGCTAATAAAAACTCACCTGATGGAAAGTGCCGGTTAGGTCAGGCAATGGCGCATGCACACCTCAATGTTACACCAAAACGACAAAGCACGCTGGCTATGTTAGAATAGTGTCAAACATCCTGATAAAATTAAATAAACGGGAACAAGTTAGGGTTTTGTAATGAATATTAACGGGCGAACTCTCCGAATCAGCCCTGACAAGGGCCACGGAACTCCGCCGAGCCCAAAATAAATCACGCTTAGTTTTGCTTTTGAGCTCATTTCCGCTTTGTTCCTTGGAGATAACACTCTACTGAAAAGATATTGTATTGATAAGTAGACGTTAAAGATTTTATAGAATAATAATGTAATCATATTAACTTACTTACTTTCACTCGCTCTGACTAATACAAAAATTCCTTTACGATTAAGGCTGCAAAATTGTGGAACGATCTCCCATTTGAAATCCGACATTCTAAGTCGCTACCTATTTTCAAAACCGGATTGCATAAATGTCTTTTATCGCAGTCCTAGTCTGCAACGTGTGTATTAGTAAGTATAAGTTTATTTAGGTATATTTATATATACATATATCTACGTAGGTATAATATATCGTTCTTTATTAAATATTTTATAAATGACTATGTCTTTATTTTAATAATTTTTTTTTTTTATTGAATTGATATTCAATTATTTTTTGTGAAATTACTCCACTAGTTTGTTATAATTATTAATACAAAGATCGAACACTTAGAAAAAACACTCAGAAAAAATTCCTTCGATCCGGTCGGATTCGAACCGACGTCTTCTTGCATACCGTGCCAGACGCTATACCAACTAAGCCACGGAACGAACCAATGGACCTCACGAATTTTTCAATGTGCTTGCGGCGTGTCTTTGTACTTGGTCTTTCAACGACTTTTTAGTCGTAGCGCCATCTATGAGAAATTGTCTTTATTTATTTTTTTTATATTTGTAAAATTGGCACACTACGTCTCCCGCTCCGATTAGCTTTCCTCTAACTCTAAGGTTGTCTGGTAGAGATCGCTCTTAGCGATAAGACCGCCTTTGCCCACATTAGGTTTAAGTTGTTTATGTACTATTCTTGTTCTTGTGTGTGAGCAATAAAGTGTTTATTTATCCATCTATCTATCATATTCCTGATGGTTTTGTTTTATGATATCATTTGAAAAAGTGCGCCTGATTGTAAGCGACACACCTACCAATAGCAATTGCGTTAGGAGCATTGTCATTGTACTGAAGTTGACTTGCTTTTTATAATAAAAGATCTGTGGGAAAGTGATGATAAGGTCGACGATGGAGCATGCACATAAAAAGACCCAAGATACAGCGTGATAAGTCGCATATGCCTGTCAAAACGTAGTAATATTCACGTTACTGCTTGACGGCAGAAATAGGTGAGGTTACTTCCCTGGACCAACTCTTTTACAAAAAGCTCTATTGCTATTACTATTCTTTTTTTATTACATAGCTTGATGCTGTCAAGTAGATCCCCGTTTAACACTAATAAATAGTACTCTTGATCTGGCCCTTTGTAAGGACAAATAGAACCAGTTCGACGTATGTATATCGAGGTCTACTTGTTCCTACATTTTCTTCACTTTTTATCTGTAAAGTTTTTGGGAATTTACATTGACTCGTATTTAAATTGGCAGCCTGAACTTAGTAAATTAGAAAATAAAATAAGTTCAGCTTGCTATTATCTTCGATCCTTGCGGGATGAAGCCTCTGTCGCCGCCTTAAAAATGGTTTATCATGCTATAGTCGAGTCGCATTTAAGATATAGCATCAGGTTTTGGGGTAACAGCTATGACTATAATGTAAAGAAAGCCTTCACTCTTCAGAAAAGAGCAATAAGAACCATAACTAGAATTCCACATTGGGAGTCGTATAGACCTTATTTTAGACAACTATCTATATTAACAGTTCCTTGTCTCTATATTTAGGAGTTGTTAACAGGCGTGACTGAATGTTCGTCTGAATTTAACAAGGAGATCGAGTCAGACAGGCTTGTTACTAGGAAGAAGGATAGCCGTGGTGTAATAGCACCAAAGTTAAATATTATAAAGCATAGCCCTAGATACCAAACAACAAAAATATATAATAGTCTCCCTAGTGAACTTAAAATGGTACAAGATCACGTATCTTTCAAAAAGCGTTTGAAACGTTTCTTATTGGAAAAATCATTTTATTGTATTGATGAATTTGCTGGGACATTAAATTAAATTGTATTTAACGAGGAATAGGATTCATAATTTGACATTGTTATTGATTATTATTATTTGACATTATTGTATTATT